TCTTTTGTGTTTGTGTCGCAAGTTCAGTGATGCAGGAAGTGACGATTCTCTCCGGCCAATCCGTGATCAGTAGTTTACACGTCACGTTTTGGTAACGGTACAGTTCACTTGGAACCCCAACCGAGGTGGTACTAAAAAAAGTACCAGGTACTGTACCCAGTGGAAAATCCCCAAAAAGTGAACCGTACCGAGCCGTACCATGCAGAGGAAAAGCGCCAAAATGCTTATGAAATTTTCTGTAAAATCAGTCAAGCCTGAATGTCCAAAAACTGCTGACTGGCTCCAACTTTTGGGAACAAGCCCAGGCTCCTAAATTGGTGTCAAAATCGTGTAGTGTATTCCAGCCTTTACACAAACTAGAGCCACCTTTGTTTTTTACTATGCCAAAGTTAGTACCAGTTAAATCCAAACAAGCCTGATGACAAGCTGATTTCCTAAACACAAAAGAAAAAGGCCTGCTACACCGATCACGTGGAAAGGACAAGAGTGGTTGGACATACTTCACAGCACACATACACACTTTATAAATATTTGTCTTTTGGGGGGCATGGTGTGGATTTGGTTCCCATTGGTGACGAAATGGATCAAAGGAACTTGGGGGAATTATGAAATGGCAAAGGTATAAGGTCCTCTAGAAGGTACCAAAACCAAAACCAATCTATTTGTTCATTTAAAAACAACACAAATCAAGAAAAACAAGGTCGACCCTCCTATTGCCGCCAAAAAAAGCAGGATTCTCCTGCGAGATTTAATTTGTGCCTTTAGGCCCTCCTCGGAACATGATCAAAAACTCATGTCCAACAAAACCTGCATACATTTATTCACAAATGTAAAACTCTAGCCTGCATTTCATAAGGGCCAGATGCAGCAGGCAGAGAATTTCCAATGTCGTTTATAAATCAGACTCATTTCATGAGTACAGTACAAAGTAGGATTTCAAGGTAAAAATCCCAAAGATAGCACGTTAGCAGTATTCCACAGTCAAAAACGAACCGTGACTTGATTCTTGATTCGTACCAGCCAAAGGGCTCGGCGGATTCTCGCCCCGGTCACACATGCACTGTAAATCCAGCCGACGGGCTGTCTAACTGCAGTGACAAATGAAAAAAAGTACAGTTCGTGCAGAGTAACATACAAACCAAAACGACACATAAGAGATCTCTAGAATCAATATGAGAGTTCTAAAACTGGAAGCCGAAATCTTTAAACCGAAGCTTATGATTTAGAACCTCCAGGGAATTTGAAAAAGAAGATCTCTCTGGACAGCTCACACGGTGTAAAACGTTACATGGAAAACAAGTTTTTTTTTTTTCAGACAGCTTAGAGTCTTTTTTCGGGGCTGTACTGGTTTGAAGGTGCGGCAGGAAGAATATGTAGGAGAGAATTGTGGGGGCGCCGCCGGGTGCGCCACGCGCGCGCGCACCGGTCCCCCGGCGCCTCCCCCCACGACGGCGTCCGCCCGCAGCGAGAGTTGGAGGGCCCCTTCGCGCGGGCAGCGGAGGGGGTTCAGACCCACCGGCAGCCGCGGAGAGGAGGACCTCCGGTCCTCGCGCCGACGAGGCGCCGCCCTCCCGCCCCCCCCCCCCCCCGCGGGGGGGGGGGGGGGGGGGGGGGGGGGGGTGCGATACCCTGGTGCAAACCGGACTGAACTGGATCGAGACTGGTCCAGGTTAGGTCAGCTGATGTGGCGCTTCAAGCATTTCCATTAAGAAGGTGTCGATTGGGGTGTCTCCAATCAGCTTGAAGAAGAACAGGTGCTCCAGGCACTTAAGGCCAATAGAGCGCAGCGCTGGCAGCCGGAGGAGGAGCTTGGCAAACCTGAAAGCCAAGTGAGATGTAGAGAAACTGCAATGAACTGTAACCCAATTGGCATATCTTTCTTGCCTCTATGGAAATTCTAGATGGGATTTTTACTTCAATAACCACACTGTTGCAATCTATTGAGGGATAGAAGAGAGAAAAAAACACATGTACTCTACCTGCCCTGCTGGTCAGGATATCTCTGTTTACAATAAGCCTCCAGCGATGCATAGACCTTCTCTCTCAGTAACTCCACTTCACTTGGGCTTGACAATCCCTTTGCATCTGCACATAAAACAACACATAAAATGTAAAGCTGCCTTTATGACTGAACAGCAGGGGTGGAAATCAGCAGGAACATTCAGCGTAACAATATATTGGTCTCTGGATGTGTAGCTATTTAAAATTGCGACATATTGCAATATCTTTATTGCTTGTTTCTCTTGATCTTAACTGGACTTTGGCGCTTTGCACAATTACATTCTTAGCTAATTCGGAGTTTGGACTATGGTTGAATAGAAACGGAGTGTACAAATTAGGAATGCACTGATAATGCAACAGTATCAGTCCATCACACAAACGTCACTGTGAAGTTTGTAGTTAAATTGTTCATTCAGATATTTTAATGGCAAAGAGAGTTAAAAGATTAACATACTTTCTAATATTAATCGATGGTGAGGAATGGGAAATAAAGAGCACTTCTGTTGCATGCGCTTGATTACGGTTCGCTCACTCAGCACATATGCTTCATTTGGATTAATACAATTTTACACAAGTAAAAATACTAAATGCTACATTATAACAAGTGGTTCCCTACACTACAAGAAACTGTCATGTAACTACTGTACCGGTGCACTAGAGCAGCTCTAAATGTGTGCTCTGCCATTAAATGAAAGATAACAAAATAAAATGATAAAATGACCAGGAAAACAGATCTGACTTGTCGGAGAAAGTGTAAGAACAGCAGTATGAACTGTCGGTGATATCTATATATGTACTTTTAAGGTAATCAGCCAACATAGCTAGTTGTCTTTATTGTTGGCATTTTATTCAATTTTGAATATCCAAATGTTAGTGAGAAGAAAAATAAAAAAAACTTTTAGATGCATATGCGACGGACTTCGTTTACGCTCATGTTTAGTAGCTCCTTTGAAGGATTCTTGAGTAAAATGGCTCTATATTTAACAAAGTGTGACCGGTTTTATCGAATACAAAAAAATACAACCCGCATTTTATGCAATTAAAATGCAGGTATCAGCAAGTACCAAAAATGAAAGTATCTGTATTGTATTTTTTTCTGGGCAAAAGTGGTATCGGAACATAGCATGAACGAATGTGAATTGAATGTGTATGACTGTGCGGTCTGACCTGGGTTGAAGAGGATGATGGCTCTCAGGCAGCCCAACTCTGATTTATCCATCTGCATGTCCCTCATCTTGCTCACCAGCTCCGTCAACACCCTGACGCCATTAAAATGAGGGCAGGAAGGAGCAAGGGACGAAAAGCAGGAAAGGAAAGGTGGGAAAAAGAGTAGAGTCAGGTTAAAATCTGAAGTACTACAATTCGCATTTACGCAATAAAAAAATTGCTTTATGGAGCCATTTTCACAAGCACTTCAAAATATATACAAAACACAATCATAAAAATCAATGGTAATATAACAGCCTTCTTATCTCAAAAAGAACAATCAGAAATTAATGTTTTAGAAACATAGAGCATGCCACGTAAGATATCAGTCACTCATGTTAACATTAGTCACTGTCGGGCCAAAAGAGAGCGTGCTAGTGCGTGCCAGTTGCGTTTCCATTGTCACTTCCGGGGCTTGATCTCTGCCTCATCGGCGCTTCCTCAGGGCCAACGCCCAGGGATTTTCGACCCGCCAAATACCTTGGGCCAAAGCGAGCCAACTGTGGCCAGAGGAGTGGTCATGAATAAAGGCGGAGTTTATCCGAGTTAGAGACGGTCGGCACAGCTACTCACTTCCCATGTTTTCATATCAAGCTACCAGCTTTAATCAACATTTAAAATTATTTTAATGGCAAAACTCACTTCAGACACCAGCGAGTGTTTGAAATAACTTACGAATGGGCCCCGATGGGAATTCTGATCACCGTATGAGGCAGAAATTTATTATATGCGATGCTATAAGGCTACGCTAACCATCGCCATCATAAATACATGTTATGCTTATTAAAATACCAGAGACAGCATGAAGAACTAGATAAATCATATATGATTATAAACGTATTTATTTGGTGTCATATTTGTTCTGTCTCTTCTCTGTGTCTTTGTTGATACAGGACTTTTGCATCCGCACGTCATAAATTTCATATACTCTGTAACTCATAACTCTGGTTTTCTGTCTGTGAGCTCCCTCTGTTGCTCGCTCGCTTTTGGCCTTGCGGCTTGAGGTCTGAGGCTCGTTGTTAGCCCTGGCTTGCACTGGCCCGACAGTAGAAACGCAGCTATTGTGAGTCCAAGCAACACTTTCAATCACACAGATACTCGTACACAAGGTCAGTTTGGTCTTTACCGGCCCCAAACAGCCCCAGACATAATTTAATCCAAAATAAACTGTCTCAAGCTACAGGCTTTCCTGACTGCTGCTGTTTGTTTATGGCGTGTGGCGGAGTGTCATTACCTGTCGAATATGGCCCCAACCTCTGCATTGTGCGCACTCTCCCTGTGTGTTCAATCACAATGTGTTATTAAAATGTCATTTCACATTTCATTGTTATATAATGTCTCCCCACTCCAGAAAGGCCCAGGCAGAGACGTTAAGACTCCACGTATGATGGCGGTAGGCCCAGTTCAAAGAGTAACAAGCTACAGGCTCTTGTTGAAAGGAAGGCGGACGATCATGGGTTGGAAGCAGCAAAGCTTTAAATGACAATTCCCAGCACAAAACAAATACAATATAACATGAAGAAAGAAATCTTTAACAGGATAAGACCAGGGCTCAACAATAAGAATGGACGCTTCAATTTATTTACGTAAACGCGAACCATGACGTTTTGCACACTGCTTTGCAAATCTGTTGATGTAAATTCCTCATCAAGGTTCTTTTAAAATCTGTTGAGCATCAGTTAAAATAAGTAAAAATTAAATGTAATTAACACTTAATTTCTAGCTAATTTTATAACAAATTAAAAAAAGCCTTTATGTACAATGCATAATAAATGTATTCATAATGTGCCTTGTAATGCATTCAAATTTTTAAATAAATAATTGAAGCCAAATTTAAAATGCATTATAATATTTGAAGGTTTGTTTGTCAAGTGATTTGATGCATCATACTTTCTAAAAGTGTAACTATGAATAGATAAGTTTTATAATCTATTATAACTATGGCTATAATTATTCATGAGGGCATACAATGCATAAGGTGCATTACAAGGCATTATTAATGCATTTAAACTACTTTTCTAATGCATTATATATAAAAGCTTTTTAATATAAAAATATAAATGTTTAATGGAAAATTTTACATTTTTCCTGACACGAAAATGTTGATTAAAAAAAATGTATATTTAATTTTAATTTCAGATTTTTGCAAGTGCGGCCAGTGAACATCTGAACAAAAGCAGAAATTTGAAAACTCATTACTGTTGAGCCCTGAAGAAATATAATATTATTATTATTTTTGTTGTTGTGGAATATAACTGCTCATTGACTTAAAGTATTATTATGTACTATAACATCAGCATCTCCTAATTGCTCAAAATGCACATAAAATGACTCTCAACACGCATCAGATTTTGCACAGAGGGTTAAATAGCATTTAAAGCCAATAAAGCAAAGCGCGAAGCATGTGCGCACATCACACAGCACCAACAGGAGGACAATGAAGCGCTGCAAGAATCAGGTGAGATGGACAGTGAAGCACAAGACATGGAGGCTCATTTCTGAAGCAGAGACATTATGACAAGATGAATGGCAACGAAAGACAATTTCATATGAACATCACAACAAACTGTAGCACAGAACATCTAGAATGAGCTCAATTAAAACAACAGCCTGTAGCTCATTATTCCTGGATTTGCAGAAGACAAAGATAAAATATGGAGTCTTGAGAAGTTATGGAGAGAAATGTGGTAAATTTGTTTCTTAATATAAACAACCGCTGTAATTACCAGCAGATCAAGAGTGAATGCCAGAGCACACTTCATACATGTGCACTGTATTGATCATGTAAATGGGAGTGTGTCGAGACTATAAGCAGAGGAGAGCATTGGTGCACATATAGGTGTCTGCATGTATGTGTATGTCCTGTCTGATCGTGCAGTGTCAGTCTATAAAAGCACACTATATACACAGCAGCGTCAAGGCAGCAGGCTGTCAGGAGGTAAAAGAAGGTATTTTTCTTTGTCATGACACAGGAAAATCCAACCACCTTTGCAGCCTTAAATGTGTCAAGAAGCAAAGCTGTTAAGGTTCATGAGCACAGGTCTACCACAAATCATGATACGATATTTCTTGCCTAATCCTTTTCACACATAAGCACAGCAGGACACATGCACATCTTTTTGAAACCTATAGCGAGCAAATCTAATAAAGCTAAGACCTTTAGAAGATCAATACAAGGCTATCCTGTCTGCAGTCATGTGACATGACTATTACCTGTCAAAGATGGCTCCCACCCCTGCGCTGTGAGCACTGTTCCTGTGCACGTGGAGGCCGGTGGCCAGCAGAATGCCATCCTTCACCGTGATGGAGCGATGAGAGAATGACGCGATCAGTAGCTCATTCCAGCCTGGTCGACAAATGAAAGCAGCAAAAGATGAGGGGGGATCACTACTGAGAAAAGCAAATTATTAAGAGTCTGCTAAGGGAAACATCAAAAAATCCTGTTTGCAGTTTCCAGTTTTGATTTTAAAAACATTCAGAGTCAGAAAGACAAAGGCAAATAGGTTTACCAGCACGCAGCAGGATGACCTGGTCATCCAGAGACAGCTCACTGAAGTGAGGGATCCGTTTTGCCCACTCCACCAAAGTGAACAGCTGTTTATCAGCTGCCTGGCAGATATTTGTGACTGGGTCGTTCGGCTGAGGAGAGGAAACAAAAGTATTGTGGGTAAGTAGTAAGGAGAGGGAATGAAAAAATCTTGAAAATAACATCATGCAAGGCTTTTTGTAATTTAGCAGTAGGAATTTGCATTTCAAAAACTCTGAAGAAGGGCTGGATGATAAACGATATCATATTGAGATTGCAATTCAATTTACACACACACACACACACACACTCAAAAAACAAAAACACACTCTCTCACACACACACACACACACACACACACACACACACACGTTCTTAACCTTGTTAATAATGCAGTATAAATGAGAGATGAGATCATGTGAAAAACCCAACAGGCTTATCTTTATAGTATGGCTGTGTGACAAACTACATATCAAGATCACAATACAATTTATGTTGATAACGATGATAAGCTCTGGACATTTTTACTCAATATGGCAGTGGTCGGCAACAGGCGGCCCGTTTTGGCCCGCCAGCAATAATATCTGGCCTGCGCCCACAGCCAGATTATTTTGATAGCGGCTGGTTCTGAAATAGATCTGTCATGACAGCAACAGTTACTCACATTCAGAGTAGGTGATCGGAGCGGTGTACAATTCACGAGTACAACTTATACCAACGACTCGTAATATAACTGCATATTTAGCAAGAATTCACAAGTTAAACATTTAGCTAGCTTGATAGAGAAAGATCACTCAAATCAGAAAGAATGTGAAGGCTATAATGACGGCAATGAGAGGGAAGTTATAGTTCTCAAGGAATTTGTCTGTTCCTTCTAGATACTGAATATTTTCAGCTGAAAGCATGATTTAAACAAATACTACAACACTTATTCACACGCAATCACTCTCTCAATAATGCATTCAAACAAATGCAATCTTACAGTGCTACTTCATCTGTATCCGATTTCGAATGAGCAGAAATCTGTAAGAAATGCATCGATCCGTAGGTAAAATAACTGACGAAAACGTACTGTTATTTTCATCACAAACAAAATTTGCACTGCAAAAAGCAGCAATACCTTTTAATGCTGACAACCATGTTATTAGCTTGTCATGTGGTAGGACAAAAGTTTGCACACTAGTGTTCCAATAAGCCACTTTGAAACTCTCCTGTTATTTTATTTATTTTATTTTTTAATATACGTTATGAACAGAACTGTGATATTTCAAACAAACTGAAATACTTTAGATGCGGAGAGAAGGCGGAGCACAGGCAATTCTAGTTGCATTTTTCATCAATTCATTTCTTAAATTATCCTTTGATAAATCCTTTGTTTCACAGTCAACACATGGCTTTTTGGCTAGATTTAAAATAAGGAAAAGTGCACTTTTAGATAAACAAGGAAATAATAGATGGCACTCGTGGTGGTAGTTAAACAAAGTTATATTTGAGTTTAAACGTGAATGTCTATGAAAGCTTGTATTACTGTACTGTGATAAAAGAGAATCACAATGCTGAAAAAGCATGTTCAGAAACAACGTTTGGATTTGAAATCAAAATAATGGATAAAAGGCAGTAGAGCTGTCTATTTCTGTCAATGGTAAGTTTGTGATAATGTAAGAAAAGTAGTTTAAATGTTTTGCCACTTGCTTGAGCAACTTAATATATAAATCTAGAAGTAAATGCAAAAGTAAAAAGTACTGAATAACGTGTTGCTTATATTTATTGCGTTTAAACACGTCTATGAAAGATTGCATTACTGTACTGTGAAAAAAAAAAAATTGCAATGCTGAAAAAGCATTTTCAGTGACAATGTTTAGATTTGAAATCAAAATAATGGATAAATGTTGTGTTTGTGGTAAACAGCCACGGATCAGTAGCGGACTCCTGTGTGAAAGCTGCTTCCCCTCTCACAAGAGTCACCTAAGAGGGGAATTCCCCCCATTTTCAAAAATGAAATTCAGGCCCTGAATAAATGTCTAAAAATCCTGATTGGAGTATCACTATAAATAGTAAAAAAAAAAGAAAAAAAAAAGAATGCTTTAAAAAGATCGGTATCGGTGATCGGTATTGGCAGATGCTGCTTTCTGTGATCGGCCTCAAAAATCCTGATCGGAGCACCCCTAGGTACCTAGTACTTTTTTTTGTACCACCTCAGTTGAAGTTCCAAGTGAGCCACACCGATACTAAAATGTGATGAGTGAACACTGCAGATCACTGATTGGTCAGAGAGAATCGTCACTACCAGAGTCATTGGATTTGTGACACGAAACACCTAACCCAATAGATTTAAATAGTCAGCAACAGTCACCGCAGTATCATTTTTTCTCACAACTTTTTTAAACGACTTGCTTTTAACAAATGTCACACGCAACTTGAAAAAAGAAATGGCTGTATCGTGGTCAGTGGATGAGGTGGCAGAGCAACTATAACAATCAGTCTATAATCCCACCCAACTTTGAAGCGGTACTAAACTGCAGTGGAAAAGCGAGCCGAGCCATGCCAAGCAGAGTCGTACCACACAATGGAAAAGCGCCATAATATGCAACTTCCTGCTTTTAATCAGTCCACCAGCTAAAATTAGAGCCCAATTACCTTGAAGTTCTGGATCACGTAACAAATAATCCTAACACTAAAGATCATAAATCCTCTTTAACATGCTTATCTGTAACTTACAGAGCTTCCCCCTGAGCTGCCATCCGCATGCAGCTCGGTCTTCTGCTCCACGGCCATCTCTGCTTCTAGAATCTTCTCTACAGGCATCTCTTCATTCGCGGGGCTGGTGGACTCAACCTCTCCTTCACGCTCCTTGTTCCTCTGACGCTCCTCCTGAACGGCTGCATTGCACAGGGAAATGAGGAAGAGGGACAAGATGGGGAAACAGAGATGAAGGATAGGGCGGAGGAAAGATCAACAGGATGGGAAAAGGAAAATGAACAGAGAGAATGGTAGTGAACAGGGAAAGCAGTAAAGATGTAAACAGGAGCAGAGAGACAGAGATATACAGATACAAGTAGTTCCTGGTTAGTTTTCAACATTCATTCACACACTGAAGTCCTCCAGCGACATTCCTTCTTCAATGACCCAGTAAAAGCTACAAATGTCCCTTATTGCACATATTCAAAACAACATTCCCACATGACTAATATTTTTTTGCTGCATCATGTCATTTAAAGGGGTCATATCATGAGGAATGAAATTTACCTTTGACAACAGTTTGATGCACTTCAAAAACACTGTAAATTCAGTTCCCAGTTAAAAAAAAAAAAAAAAGACTCCTGAACTTTTGCATGTCACATCAGGCACATGATTGTCCACATTTACAAATACAATGACTATTAGGTAGGGTTGGGCGATGTCTACCAAATTGGCATCGGACGATGTCTACAGTGAAATGGACGATGACATCGGGGGGGGGGGGCTCTAAAATGAGAGCGCGCAATCGAAAGCGGTTTCAATAGCGGCTCCCTGATGCCCGCAATTTATATACAGTCGCATATACTTACCCAACGATATAATTGCGAGAAATGCCTCCCATGTCGTAGGCTATTTATTCCCTTTAGGGTTTCCGTAGTACACTTCATTTCCTTTCCGAACACGGAACTGGGATGCGGCGGATTGCGGGAGAGGGTGGGGGGGGTTCTGTCAGTCATCGGCGATAGACGATGCCCAACCCTACTATTAGGTAACAGAAACTTGGTACAACCAGTCTTGGTAAAGTAATAAAGAGAAAGCGGGATGATACTATTACTTTTAAATACCAGAAAAACTAATAATAAGAGCAAAATGTTGTGCCCTTTCTGGCGGTGTAGCACCTACTGCTCTGCATATCTTTCTCAACATAAGAAATGCTGAAGTTTATTTTTAACACGGTTCCTAAACATTTCAGTCTGACTTTAAGCATTAATGGGGAAAAAAAATGAGAACATATCACTTTAAGAATATCTTTTCAAAGAACCATATTAAATGGTGAATAAATGATCTTAAAAAATAAAATGCAAAAAAAGTTACATTCAGTAGATCTCAAGGAAAAAACAGATGAAATGACCCCTTTAATAGCCATGACTAATATCCTACAGAGCAATTCTTTCACCATTCCCACATTCACTAACTCTCTCTCTCTCACATACACACACGCACATGCGCACACACACAACCACCACTCCCTCCCTCCCTCCCTCCCTCCCTGTTTTCTCCTTACATCGTTGTCGTTCATCTTGGACCACTACAGAAGGAGAGGGAGGAAGAGAGAGAACGAGAGGAAACAAAAGAGGGAGAGAGGGGGACAGGTGTTAGTGGTGACAACAGCCCTCCCTCCCCCTCTGCTCTCCTCTCTGGTTTGTGCCGTGATGACTATGAATTAGCCACAATACCCTCTTTACATTCAGTGTCAACAATCTTATAAAATCTACATGTCTCTGCTACACATACTCTTGTCACTGCGGTCTTTCTGTCTGGCTTAATTCTAGAAAACATTTGCTCTCTCCTTAGTGACAGACCGATATGTTGGCCAAGCAAATTTATCATAAAATAAATAAATGAAATACAAAAAAAATATACATTTCGGCAATTACTGGGTACATCCCAATTGCCATTAAATTGTACATAATATTTAAAGGAATAGTTCACCCAAAAATCAGCACCAGCTCATTCAAAATGTAGATGATTTTCTTTTTTCAGCTGAAGAGAAATTAAGGTTTTGAAGGAAAACATTTCAGGATTTTTCTCCATCTAATGCAAGTGAATGGGGCTCAATGTAGACAATAAGGTGGTTCTTGTCGCCTACGTCACGCGTGACATTCCCAACATGCATACGTCACGCAAGAGGTCATTAACTAAATCGTCTCGTGATCGTGCATTGCAGAGATGAACCAAGGTGAGCATTTGTAGTTAAAAAGTATATAATATATAATGTTTTTTCTGAAAATAACTGATCGTTTCGCAAGAGAAGACCCTTATTTGTCAGCTGGGGTCGTGTGGATTACTTTAAAGCTGCCTAAATATGGATTTTGGACTGTCAAAATGGTCTATGGTGAGCCCTGTTCACTTGCATTAGATCCTGGAATGTTTTCCTCCATTACCTTAATTTTACTTCGGCTGAAGTCAGTCAGTCATACACATCTTGGATGGCCTGGAGGGTGAGTAAATAATCAGTCATTTTCATTTTTGGGTGAGTTATTCCTTAAATGCTTTATTGTCTATCATCCACTCTGCTCTCTAGACATCAGCATCAGTTTGTGTTTCTTGCACAACTAAATGCATAGCACCACAGCATTGAACATTACAAGTTGTAGATCAGTCTTTCTATTGCATTAGCTTCACATAAATAAAAATACACACTGTGACCAATGTAGTCAGATTTACAAACAAATGAGTATTAAACGTAGGTCCATTTATGAGGTGAGGAAACACTGGCATCAGACTCTGAAAATCTCATATCAGTGAATCACTATTCCTTACTTCTAGTGTAAAGAGCATCTCATCTTGGATTTGTGGTATGTTTATGTGCTAGGTGGGACAGCAAGTTCTGGTTCTTACCCTCTCTCTTCATCCCCATGGCCAGGCACTTCTGGTAGCGGCAGTACTGGCAGCGATTCCTCTGGCGTTTGTCCACCAGGCAGTCCTTAATGTCTCTGCATGTGTAGCTCAAGTCCTTCCTCACAGTGCGCTTGAAAAAGCCCTTGCACCCCTCACAGCTGTACACGCCGTAGTGCTTGCCTGGAGAAAAGAGACACGAGATGAATTTATGGAGGTGGAAGATTTTAGTCAATAAAAAGGTGAACCTACATTTGATGGTTTCATAATGTTATCACATAATGTTGTTGTTACATAAGTGTTACATAATGAAAAGCTTTTTTTGTTCATTTGTCAAGATTTGACAAAAAATTTTTAAAATGTTACATTTCAAATAAATGCTATTCTTTTGAACTTTCTATTTAACAAAGAATCCTAAAAAAAATGATCACAGTTTTCACAAAAACACTATGCCGCATCAAATCAGCATATGATTTCTGAAGGATCATTTGACACTGAAAACTGGAGTAAAACTCAGCTTTGCCATCACAGGAATAAATTCCATTTTAAAAAACATTAAAAAAAAAGAATAACAACATTTTATTATATTACAGCTTTAGTGTATTTTTGATTAAATAAATGCTGCCTTTGGGAAGCATAGGGGACTTTAAAACATTAAACAGAAACCTCAAACCCCAAACAGCAGTGTATATATAGCATATTTACAGTTAAAAATATGTTTTTTGTACACCGTAGGGGTGGACAATCTTCCCAAAATATCATATCACGATCTTGTCACACAAAATCACGATCCACGATCTAAATCGCGAATTTTGAGATGCACTATTAAGAATATCCAGAGTGGAACTAGCCTATGACTTACCTATTTCAACAATTTATAACAGTATTGCATTAAACAACCAAAATGGACATTAAAGCCTGAGTTAAACTTTAAAACACTGCACCACTGTATGAATCAAATATACGTTGCTTCTTATTAAATTTATAAAGCGATTCATTCAAGAGCAGTGAGTGATTTTCTCTGTCTTTTGTTGTTTGATTAACATTAATGATACAGACAGCAGCAGGTTTATTAGGCTGCTGTCTCTTTAAGACCGAATGCACGGATCTAATATACTGACATGCATCCAATTTCTTTCCCAATTATTTATGTTCACTTAAGACATAACTGACTGTCTTTATGTAAATACTTGCCAAGACAGAAATTTTGACATATTATTGTGTATATTTGACTATTTATGCATTATGCAAATGCATAAAACTCCTGTTCATGTTAGCGCCGCCTCGGAGCGCGTGCACAGAGCGCACCTGGGGAACAGACTCTTTCGCAGTCAATGCATTTTAATAACTCTTTTTAAAATAAAGCATGTCCCACAGTAGACTACATTTTACGACAGTCACATTGCATGATTGGACTGATTTGGACTAAGTTTAGGAGAGGCGAAAGCATACCGCTTGAAATGATTGGAACAGCTTGCGGCACAAATCGAAACAAACTAAAATTTGATTCATCGCAGTACTACTGCTAGCTCACGTTGAGTTGTTTTTTTTTTTAAATACGTCACCACGCATGAAAGATACATATGGAAGCCCGTTACCACCACTGAATAAAAAAAGAAAAAAGGTAATCGCGACTTTTTATCTCACAATTCTGACTTTTTTTTCTCACAATTGCGTGTTCAAACTCACAGTTCTGACTTTTTTTCTCAGAATTGCCTGATATAAACTCGCAATTGCGAGCTAAAAAGTCATAATTGTGACTTTGTCTCGCAACTGAGAGTTTATATCACGCAATTCTGACTTTATATCTCGCAAAATATAAAAAGTCGCAATAACCTTGTTTTTAAATTTTATATTCAGTGATGGAAATGGGCTTCTATAGACACATGATAGAGACGCGTGATATAATTTGACCAGCCACAGTCATCTAATATGCAGTCATTGCTGTAGTTTTAACATTATTATGAAGACATAAAAGATCACGGTCTCTACAGTTCGCTTGAAAAGTAGATCGTAGAAGTCTTCGAGATCGATCACGATATAAAATCGACAGATCGCCCACCCCTAGTACACCGCGACAATAATATAAAGCTTCTCATTACATATACCCCTAATTGATACTGTACCATTTTTTGATTCACCATTTTACTGTCCAATAACATTTAAACAATAGCTATAAACATTTAAAAGGAACAATACATTTTTAAAAGAAAATATAGTTTCAGTGTTTCCTTCAGATGGGTTAGGGTTAGTGTTTATCAGTGACATACCAGAGGAGCGATCCCCACAGATGGCACACAAGCGTTTCTGAGAGACCATGGGCCCTGGGCTGTGGGCGGACATCGGCTTCAAACCGAAAGGCGGTTTGACATCATCAGAGCTGCTGACTGCGTGCAGACCCGACATGGACACGGTGGAGTTGATCTGAGACGGGCGATGAGGTGAGAGATAGACAAAGAGATGAAGTGATAGAAAAAAAAAATTAGTTGAATAAACGAACACTTTCTCATTTTTGTTAGTGATAAACAAAAATCAAATCACAAGATAACAGGAAAATACATGTTAATTTCTTATGATCAGTACCACATGCCTGGTTAGCTCTCAACCCTTAACTGATCATAACCAGATAATAATAAATAATCTCTCCCCAAATCATTCAAACACCATTTCATCACAAATCCAACCCTTTGACCCCAGGTGGAAGATGATCAATCATTAAGAATCTTATTTTGATTGCATTCTAATGAACACAACCCCTCAACAGATGGTATTTAATCATCCAAACAGAACTACATTTCAAAATCTATGAGCAACAGTAAAGGGAAGAAGACATATGCATGAGAGAAGCAACTAGACAACGAGGAGGGAGTCAGAAAGTGAGAGAGGGTGCAAGGTCTCACCTCTGTGTTTCTGGCAAACATGTTCATCTGTGAAGCAGAAATGCAGTGATGAGGAGGAGCGCAAAAAAAAAAGAAGCTTGTGGTGTGAGGGAGGTGGTGCTAAAAAATTACTAAATCCACCATGCTTATTTTGTTTTGGCTAAACTCAAATTTAGACTATGAAAAAAAAATCAGGTTTAGATCGACAGAAACCTACCTGAGAGACTTTGGAAATTAAGGTCAAAATACCAGATGGTCTGTTAAACATTAACAGTTTTAGAGGGAAAAACTCAAATGATCCCAGTGAATAAACAGTGATTAAAAAAATTCCCTCAAGCATAACTTAAAATTTTTCAGGTTCAATTGCATATTGCTAGTCATTGTACACTACTGTTCAAAAGATATTTTAATGTTTTTGAAAGAGGTCTCTTATGCTCACCAAGGCTGCATTTATTTAATTATAAATACTGTAAAAACAGTAATATTGTGAAATATTATTACAATTTGAAATAACCATTTTTCAATTCAATATATTTAAAAAAATCCATTTATTCCTGTAATGCAAAGCTGAATTTTCAGCATCATTACTCCAGCCTTTAGTGTCACATGATCCTTCAGAAATCACTCTGTGCTTAATAACTCTTCAAGAAACATTTATTATTATCAATGCTGAAAACAGTTCTGCTGCTTAATACTTTTGTGGAAACCATGATTTTTTTTTTTTTTCAAGATTCTTTGATGAATAGAAAGCTCAAATGATTTACTTGAAAGAACTGTCACTTTTGATCAATTTAATGCATCCTTAGTGAATTCATTTAAAAAAAATATCTTCCTGGCCCCTAATGTTTGAATTGTAGTGTACACCACAGTGTTAATGATAACTATTATATTAGTCCAAATTTAACTACTCTGCAGCTTTTTTAACTAAATCTACATGACTTAATTCAAATTTCATGTACTCAATAACATTGTGCCAATAGACGATAGTATCGTGTATCAACGATAGTCAGAGATATCGCCTGTGGCTGATGCCTTTGACGATAGCAAGACGATTATCATTATTATTATTATTATTATCAGGCTAGTAATACTATCTAATTAATATTAAGGCTTATTTGTTCCATCATATTTCTTTTTCAACATTTTTACAGTGTTGTGCGTTATAACCAATCACACACGATTCCGCTGAGTTTATGAATGCAGCGGCCAATCAGAAGCGTTCAGATGAGTCATCGATGAAACACCAGAGTTTTGTTGTTCAGTGCGTGCGCTGGCCGACTGGATTCTGCTCTCTCGCGAATTCTCTCATAATAAACAACAAAGTGCAGTTGTACGGGCGATGTAAGTATAAGAGATTTATTCATCATACAGTGTAGATGGCTACACTGATTATAACAGGAGTTATAATCAGTGAACTCGCACTAGACTGAAGTCAGTGATGATGTTCTTTGATATTGTAAATGTTTTTTGCAAGTTTTCTGTAGCTGCTGTTTGAATAACTGCGGAAATGTAAGCATTATAATTAGTAACTTACAGTGTTTCTATTCAATTGTTATCATGTTAAATACAAATTCAGTCATATTAAAAATATTTTATGACATGACATCCTAACATTAGGCTGATTTTAGCCGTACCCTGGAGTTGGTTCACTCTCCGGCTATGAATCTAAGTAAGTAAATAATTAAATAAATTAGTAAGATAATATCGTGTATCCGCGATCTCACATCGTGGAATCTAGTCATAAAAACAGAATTTACTGTACAACGCGGAATGTCACGGAATTTGCCAAATGTTGGATGAATAAATCAAAAGTAGGTCAGTAAACTTAAATCAAAATGTGATATGGACTAGTGTCTATGAATATTAAACTGCAAAAATACAATTTAAATATGAATCCTGCATGTTCTGCGTGTCTCTATGTGAATGAATGGCGCAGATGCGCAGTTTTCGTTTACTACACACATACTGAAGCGTGCGTGATGCTCGCGGTGTTTTCAGCCTCTGCCGCCTCAATATATGAGTACATGAACACATAAACAATCTCTAGAGCTGCTCTGAGTCACTTCATGAACATTTTACCATTTCTTTTGAGAAAAGCTATCATCATATCATATACAAACAGATAAGGTCTTCACAGCAACCCGTCAAAAAAGTTTGGTTTAACTTGAAAACACTGTGACAGAAATATATTACTTAATGCAATGATAGTACTACTACTAATAATAAAATTATTATGAAAACATCATTTTTAAAGGACTATTTACCAGAAAAATGTAAATACACAACACTTTTTCTGAAAAATAAAAAAATAAAAAAAATAAATTATTTTTTATAAAATCAATTAATTAGAGATGTTTTTGATTATTACATTTTAATGGATTTTAATTTTATTTAAAATGAATGGAAAACAATTTTGTAAAAAATAAAATTGAATTTGAGAAAAAAAATTAAACATTTCATAGGGCCTTAAAATTGAACTTTTGTTAAACTTTTATTAATTTGATGTTAAATATTGTAAGTTTCATGATTTCAATTAATTAGATGTGCTTTTTGATTAATAAAAATGTATTAACCATTTAACCTTTAAAACAGAGTCTACAAAAAAAAAAGAAAACAGAATAATTTAAAAAACGGAATTTGGGAAAAAATAAAATGGAATTTGGGAAAAAAATAAGGCCCCAACTAGTAGGCAGACCTGGAAGCCTTAAAATTGAACTTTTGTTAAACTTTTATTAATTTGATGTTAAATATTGTAAGTTTCATGATTTCAATTAATTAGATGTGCTTTTTGATTAATAAAAATGTATTAACCATTTAACCATTAAAACAGAGTCTAGAAAAAAAAAAGAAAACAGAATAATTAAAAAAAACGGAATTTGGGAAAAAATAAAATGGAATTTGGGAAAAAAAATAAAACGAATTTCATAAGGCCCCAACTAGTAGGCAGACCTGGAAACCGAACGAGCTGGACTGTTTGTCTTGTAGCGCAAACTCGGGCCTTAAATGAAATATGGGGAGTCCAGTGGAAAGTAAGAAGTGTTAACATGGTAATGCTCACCTGTGGGCTGCTGATGGGGCCGTAGCCTACTGAGGGAGTTCCAGGAAGGCAAGGAGAACCCAGAGAGGAGCTGATGACGGAGAAGGGTGAGCCCATGCTGCTGATGGGACTGTTCACAGCCGAAGTGATGGGTGGCAGGGAGGTCATGGCGGCGGCTGAAGGGGTCAACGGTGGCGAACGCTGACCTGATGGTGGTGAGGAAACGGATGAACTGTCTGGACTACGAGAATCTGTTAGGAGAGAGGAAAAACTATACAGTCACATTCAGGGAGGCCAATCATTTTAAAGGGGTCATATGATGCGATTTCAATTTTTCCTTTCTCTTTGGAGTGTTACAAGCTCTTGGTGCATAAAGAAGATCTGTAAAGTTGCAAAGACTAAAGTCTCAAATCCAAAGAGATATTCTTTATAAAAGTTAAGAGTCAGCCACGCCTACCTAAAACGGCTCGTTCTAACACGCCCCCACATATCTACGTCACTATTTGGGCGGCGTTATGCAACTCTTCCCACATCTTCACGCAAAGAAATTAGGCGTAACTTTTAATCTCGCTGTAGTATTGTTGCCGCCACCGCCATGTCGTGAAGGCGCTGAATTCGGCCAATCACAATGCACTGGATAGCTGGCCAATCAGAGCACACCTTGCTTTTCAGACCGATGAGCTTTGTAAAAATCAACACGTTTCAGGAAGGCGGGGCATAGAGGAGAAACAATAATGTACAGTATGTGGAAAATAATGTGTTTTTTGAACCTTAAACCGCATAAACACATTTCATTACACCAAATACACAAAATAATGTTCTTTTTAGCAGCATCATATGACCCCTTTAAAAGAATGTTGGCTTTTGTAAAGGTATTTAAAGGGAGAAAACGAACTACCTGTTTTACATACATGCAAGGTAAAAGAAACTTATTCTGAAACCAAGCTATTTAAACTTATAACAAAACATTCATGAAATAATGGAAAACCGAGGTCTACAGATTGCATGAGTTTTAAACCATAACATCTTATCAATGCTCTAGTAATACACAAAACAGTGTCAAACATAACATGAACTCTAAACTTGAAGTAGTGCAATTAAAATCTAAGTTTACAGCTCTAAGTGTAATTTTTACTTCACAAATGTGGATATAAAATCAAAACAATCTCACCTCTGCTGTCGCCCATGATGTGCAGCCGGGCTCTGCTGATCACACCGGCTCACTCGCTCTGATGTCGAATGGCTGTTCAACTCAAGACCGCGGACTGAGGCCCGGGCCTGGATCTTTTACTAATCTACGTTATCACTGCAGATTACAAAACATTGTGAGAATGACACTTAAGAACACTTAAACTACGACTGATTCGCGACAAATAAATGGCCTCAAAGCGAGTTATGTTTCATTTCTATGTAAACATGAGAGAAAAAATATTTCTGCGAATATTTACGTGATTTTTGCAAGCATATTAACTGTATACAATAGATTCAATGTATTCTAAGTGGATTTAGCTCGATAAAACAAGATTAATCGCGTGCAAGAATGCTAAACGAAATTTCCAGTATCGGCTAGCTCACTAGCTCGCTGGATAGCTTTAATTTACCAACAAAACGAGCCACATTTCACCTTATAAAGCTGCTCTAAATGTATGCGCAAAGTACTTAATGTCGTTTTAGTGAACGACACTGGTTTTATTTACAGTTATTGTGTATAAAAACACACGCATTTATATTTGTGTACAGCTAATCGACTCAACTAGCATGTTAGCTAGCACACTAATAACTCTGCAGGCACAATTTATTGCTCATAAACAAACAACGTAAAATCGCGCATAGTGTTATTATAACAAATGTAAAGCAACACGTACCTGTCAATAAGTGTAAACAACAACAGCATTCACCCGAGTTACATAAATACGATGAAGATTTATATTTTAAAATGGCTTAATTAGGGCCGCGACTCTCCGTTCCCATTTCCTCGGTGTGATTCTCACAGTTGCCTTGATCTTCCTTTCCTAGGAGGAAACTGAAGCTGTTTACGTCCGAGCATTGAAACTGACGCCATTTTGGCTCGGGTAAAGGATCAGCCGAGCCAAAATGTCTACAAGTAAAGTTCGTTTCTTCATTGGAAGTACATTATATAAGTGCTTCTGGGCGATTCTACAAATGTGTGTCGCATTAGCATGTTTACATAATGGCATAACAATTACATCAAGTGTTGTATTAAGTTATATATCCATTCTCTAAATAAAATAAAAATATTTTTTTATTATTTTTAAACGTCTTTGTTTCATTCTTTTTTTTAATTATTATTAAGAGTATTTAAGGAAAACATAAAATTCTCATTTGTGTATTAAGGTATTAAAGTTTTACTTAATATATTTTTAATATGTTTTACATAGTTGACACAATCTTGTCATTGCAGTTTGTCAAGATAACTAAGGCCTGAGCTTTTTTTGTGAACTCAGCTGCCATCCACAGGCAAGAGTACTTTACAACAGCTAACCATTCCTGCAGTTAGACATAATTGCAATGTAATTACTTTTTCAATGCTTAAGTATTTTTTGATTATGATGTAGTCAACACAAATACTCATGCATTTTTTTTTCCCCACTGCACACTCCACATTGTAAACATTTAACCCACTGGACTTTCCAGCCGATTTTCTCTCTCCAGCAAAGGCGAATACATTTTAGTCAATATCACAGACCCAATTATTATCACCCGGATCATCTTTATTGAGTTTAAACAGAACCCACAAAACAAAACATGCAAGATGTACAGAACTTTACATACAAATGAGCTGTGAGTGTATTTGAGAATGAAAGGCCACCAGGTCAAATAAATGTGAAACCGTACACTGCATTAGCATCACAAACTGTCAAGTTGTTTACTAGTTTAATCTATTTTTCACAAGGTGCAAAGAGCTTCTTGACAGCATAATGACAATCATTCGACATTTAAATATTAAATATTTAATGATTTACTCACCAGCATGGTTTAGAGCAAATGTGATGGATGCGTTTTAGAGAAGATACACCAATATCACACAGCTGAATCTTTAACATTGAGTCTGACTAGTGCAGCTTTATTATTTGCTCTTATATTTCAGCGAGTTTTATGTGGTCATATTTTAATGAAGTGCAGCTTGTCGAATGCAAGATATTCATTTATTTATTGGCCGATTATAAATAAGCAAAAGGGCGGAGTCAGGATGTGTTTAATAGGAGCGGATTGCAGGGGGAATGGCAGCACATTCCTCTGCGTTCAGAGAGCTGTCAATCACAGGTCTGTATTCCAGTATAACCTGAAACACAAGTTTGTACGTTATATTAACGTACGCTTTTTCTTGTATGTAGACTATCAAGAAAGATTTAAAGGTAAACAAATGAACGGAAAGCGAACAATAGCAAAACAGAGGATTCATTATATATTTACCTTTCCTGTCTTGGGATCCACGTAGGACAGTGTGTGTTTCCTCCAGTGCTGCTCGAAAGGCTTCTTCACTTGTCCCTGCAGAGACTTAGAGTAATCGTACTCATCCACACGGTCCTGTAAGAAACACAGGGTAACAAAACCATTAAAGATGCAAACATATTATCAACATGACAGTTGATAGTTTGCTCAAAAAAGAAAATTTGTTGAAAATTCTCACCATCGGGCCATCTAAGACGTAGATGAGTTTGTTTCTTCATCAGAATGGATTTGGAAAAATTAATCATTGCATTACTTGCTCAGCAATGGATCCTCTGCAGTGAATGGGTGCCGTCAGAATGCGAGTCCAAACAGCTGATAAAAACATCACAATAATCCACAAGTAATCCACACCACTCCAGTCCATTAGTTAATGTCTTGTGAAGAGAAAACAAATCCATCAAGACGTTTGAACTTCAAACCGTTTCTTCCATCTAAACTATGAGTCCACTCTAAATAAAATAAAAATATTTTTTTATTATTTTTAAACGTCTTTGTTTCATTCTTTTTTTTAATTATTATTAAGAGTATTTAAGGAAAACATAAAATTCTCATTTGTGTATTAAGGTATTAAAGTTTTACTTAATATATTTTTAATATGTTTTACATAGTTGACACAATCTTGTCATTGCAGTTTGTCAAGATAACTAAGGCCTGAGCTTTTTTTGTGAACTCAGCTGCCATCCACAGGCAAGAGTACTTTACAACAGCTAACCATTCCTGCAGTTAGACATAATTGCAATGTAATTACTTTTTCAATGCTTAAGTATTTTTTGATTATGATGTAGTCAACACAAATACTCATGCATTTTTTTTTCCCCACTGCACACTCCACATTGTAAACATTTAACCCACTGGACTTTCCAGCCGATTTTCTCTCTCCAGCAAAGGCGAATACATTTTAGTCAATATCACAGACCCAATTATTATCACCCGGATCATCTTTATTGAGTTTAAACAGAACCCACAAAACAAAACATGCAAGATGTACAGAACTTTACATACAAATGAGCTGTGAGTGTATTTGAGAATGAAAGGCCACCAGGTCAAATAAATGTGAAACCGTACACTGCATTAGCATCACAAACTGTCAAGTTGTTTACTAGTTTAATCTATTTTTCACAAGGTGCAAAGAGCTTCTTGACAGCATAATGACAATCATTCGACATTTAAATATTAAATATTTAATGATTTACTCACCAGCATGGTTTAGAGCAAATGTGATGGATGCGTTTTAGAGAAGATACACCAATATCACACAGCTGAATCTTTAACATTGAGTCTGACTAGTGCAGCTTTATTATTTGCTCTTATATTTCAGCGAGTTTTATGTGGTCATATTTTAATGAAGTGCAGCTTGTCGAATGCAAGATATTCATTTATTTATTGGCCGATTATAAATAAGCAAAAGGGCGGAGTCAGGATGTGTTTAATAGGAGCGGATTGCAGGGGGAATGGCAGCACATTCCTCTGCGTTCAGAGAGCTGTCAATCACAGGCAGTATAACCTGTATAACCTGAAACACAAGTTTGTACGTTATATTAACGTACGCTTTTTCTTGTATGTAGAAAGATTTAAACAGAGAGCTGTCAATCACAGGTCTGTATTCCAGTATAACCTGAAACACAAGTTTGTACGTTATATTAACGTACGCTTTTTCTTGTATGTAGACTATCAAGAAAGATTTAAAGGTAAACAAATGAACGGAAAGCGAACAATAGCAAAACAGAGGATTCATTATATATTTACCTTTCCTGTCTTGGGATCCACGTAGGACAGTGTGTGTTTCCTCCAGTGCTGCTCGAAAGGCTTCGTCCCTGCTCCCTGCAGAGACTTAGAGTAATCGTACTCATCCACACGGTCCTGTAAGAAACACAGGGTCCATTAAAGATTAAAGATGCAAACATATTATCAACATGACAGTTGATAGTTTGCTCAAAAAAGAAAATTTGTTGAAAATTCTCACCATCGGGCCATCTAAGACGTAGATGAGTTTGTTTCTTCATCAGAATGGATTTGGAAAAATTAATCATTGCATTACTTGCTCAGCAATGGATCCTCTGCAGTGAATGGGTGCCGTCAGAATGCGAGTCCAAACAGCTGATAAAAACATCACAATAATCCACAAGTAATCCACACCACTCCAGTCCATCAGTTAATGTCTTATGAAGAGAAAACAAATCCATCAAGACGTTTGAACTTCAAACCGGTTCTTCCATCTAAACTATGAGTCCATAATATTGCTTTCTACAGTGAAAAAGTATTTTAGCTGGATGTATCAGTTTGAAGTTAAAAACATCTTGACACAGCTTTTTACTTCATAAGACGTTAACTGATGGACTGGAGTGTTGTGGATTATTGTGATGTTTTTATCAGCTGTTTGGTCTCTCATTCTGACGGCACCCATTCACTGCAGAGGATCCATTGCTGAGACAGTGATGCAATGCTACATTTCTCCAAATCTGATGAAGAAACAAACTCATCTACATCTTAGAAGGCCTGAGGGTGAGTAGATTTTCAGCAAATTTTTATTTCTGGATGAACTATTCCATTAAGCTGCAAGACTACAGATTACAAATAGTTGGAAGCAACAATACCTATTTGTAAAAGATGTAACAAAACATTTCCATTTTCAATAGCCAAGATGTCGTTTTTACTAGGTAAAAAAAAAAAATGTACTGAACACTAAAAATTCAGACAGCTTTGCGTTACGGCTTTGTAAATTTACAAAATGTTGTCCTTAAACAAGCATGCTGGTTTCAGAAAGTTCACCTTGAAGTAGGGCTGGGCGATATGGCCAAAAAAAATTATCACGATATTTTTTCCCATATCAGCCGATATCGATAATTATCACGATAAATGTCAAATCTTTATTTCTTTCCACTTTAAAGCCAGAGTTTTGCACCAAAGTGAAAGTTGTAGAAACCAGACCATTCATTTTCCTTAACAAAATAAATATCTAAATAGAAAAATTGAATTCTTAGTTTCTGCATGTTCTAATGAGTGATATTGTTTCAAATCAAGAAACTGGTTTGGGTTGCCTGATAATATTAATATCACTTTTTTTTGTCTCTTAGACATGCACATTTGATAGTAGCTTGAGTTAGGATGCAGAGATAAATTTGTTCATTATCAAAATCAGTAACATCGGTAAAAATTGTAGCAACCTCAGTTTTAAATGGTTAAATTTATTCCCATGGTAAATGATGGCGATGTGTAGATTGCAAAGCCTTCTGACTGTCTCATTCGTTGCACACAGTGTTTCTCCTGTTTGGCTTTAAACTAGTTTAAATCACCGAGTCATTTGTGTTCATCTCTGAGTTCAAGCGCTTCACACTGGATCTCACAGCGCTGCTTAGAGCTCGCGTGACTAAGTAAATGCATCTGTTCTGAGCTCGCGCCGCGGAGCCGTTTGAACTGTGATCCGACCAAGCGGATAAACGGTCCATGTGGCGCGCGATTCAATTGAGTCGTGCTGTTTCGTTCCGCTTTTGGCCCATAAACATTATATCGA